GTAGAAATAAATAAATAAATATATTTCTCTTTGCCAAGGAGACGATTCGGGTTCGATTCCCATTATCCGCACAATATCCAAATTCAAGAGGAAAGTAATCCATATATTAATTTAAATAGAGGGGGATCAGGTTGTCATGCTAGAGACATAAACAGTCATGGATAATGATAATATGAGATTCTTCCAACTGGGCTAAGAGAATGCCTATCACTTTGAGGTCCCAATACCAAAGTTTGTTTTATACATATGACAGGGAACAAGAAAAATAAATGTAATTGCTAAATGATTGGTTGGGCTCAAAATTTTATAAATCTATTTAAAAGTCCATCTGCCTTTATGGAAAACCCCTTTTTGCCGGCGATACAATAGTTGCTTTTAACTATGAAGAATTGAGATGTGGTGATATAATAAAAGGCCTTCCAAAAGTAGAACACGTTAATAAATAAACAAACATGTTTGAAGTTTGAACACACAATATAAACCCATACTGAGATTGAATTCACGTATAATCCCCCCACCCCCATGTTTTTTTCTTTTGAAATGTACCTTATTTTTGTTCCATATTTCCTTCCTTGGCACTTTATAAGTTTGAAAAAGACACCGAGTATGTTGGATACACTTCTTGCCTGCCTCTATAAAGATGCCATAGATAATTAAACTTGGACTGTTTCATCTCCTCTGTCCCATGAAATGGCCTTCTGCTGAGATCAAAGCCGTTTTCGCTTTCTTCATTTTTAGTTTTAGTTTTGATATATAGCAGTATAGCATATTTCCATTGGCCCCTCAACTAGAAAAAGTTACAGTTGACCAGATTACTTGCTGTTTTCAACCCATTGAAACCATATAAAAAATAGCAACTCTCAGATTCCCAAAATTTTATGCATAACAAATGGTGAAATACACTCTTGTGCCTTCTTGCCTATATTGTAGTTGTAGTTTAACAAGTGATATTAATTCATTTCAAAAGTTTCACATTTCCATAACCTGCAGTTATGTGTTTTCTGCAGGTAAATGTTCACATAATGAAAGTAATACCTGCTGATGAAGCAAACAAAGTATTGGCTCATCAGGTCCATTGTCTTGCAATGCTCTTTGACTTTTGTATGGATGACAAGGAAACATGTTCTGAGAAAAGAACGAGCACATCTGTGATCGATGTTGGTCTATGCAAACCTGTTGGTGGTGAGCTTGTTTCTAGATCTTTCCGAGGCAGGGACCGCAGAAAAATGATATCTTGGAAGGACACTGTCTGCACTCCTGGCTATCCTTACTAGCTATGAAGCATGGAAACTTCCTGTGGCTCACGTTTCCGTGTTTCGGAAACTCAAACTTCAAATTCCCGTTTTGGTGCTGTTTCCGTAATTAAGAACTGGGTAACCCATTTCTCCAAAATAATTAGTGTTTCTGAAACCTTGGGTTTCCACTTTCCAAAACTTTTTCTTTTTGGTGATATTTCTTGAAGGGAAATAGTACATTTATAAACTTTTTGGTGAATTTTTATGTGATTTCATTCTAGAAACATTGTGATATTTCATAATGTAAAGCATTGCTAGACATGTATTGCATGTTATATTTAATCAGGTACTAATATGTAATAGTTTCTAAACTTGGACATGTAGAATGTTTTAATAGAGTATTAGTTATCAAAGTTACAGGGAAAAACTATGTTGACATGTATATATGTATATATATATATAAATGATATAATGTGTATGCATATACGAAAAAATATTTGGGGGACAGAGTGCAAATTTTTACACGTTTCCTATCCTATAATTTTTAGAATTCTCGCTCTTGCATTCCACATTTTCTGTCTCATTTCTGTGCTATATGGCTCACTAGTGTACTGGTTTTGACTGTGATATAGTGCAAATTTATCTTCTAGTCCTTGGAAACAAGCATTTATCTAGTGAGTTCAAAACTTCAAATCATGTTTTGTTACTTGTGTAAGCTTGTCACATGTTTTACTGACTTCAAATCCAATATATTAGTGGGAATTAATGTATGGTTTGACGGCATATTTTGACATTAAGTGTTATCAAACAAGTCTCCAGATTCATAAAAGACTACCGCCATCCTCAGACTAGAAAATTATTCTCTCTACGGGTTCTGTTTGGTAGCCAAATTGGTCTATTCTGCTAATTTTGGATGATAAGATAGTTACAAAATATTTTAGAACCCTGACCAAATAGGTTCCTAGCATGCCAACGAAAACTATTATGGAGACTTATATAGGTAGATAATACTCCGTAATATATAGCCGCTCCTTGTACACAAAGTTTTATGTGATGGAATTGGAAACCTAGAAGACACTTGAGCAACTTGAGATTTATATCTCAAGTTAGTGAGGGTCTAGCCGTCTAGAAGTGAGTTCTTGAGAGACTACTTTGGTCTTTAGTGAAATAAGGTAGATAATAATATACTACGTATGTTCTACCAATGTAGAATACACATAATGCTTTACTCCCTCGACCAATGTGGTTACATATGAAAATATGTATCATTCATTTCTTCTAGTTTTTACATTAGAAACGTTTTATAACAAAAGAAACCAATCAATTGTGTGTGTTCGTGCTTCCACATTTCTGTTTGCGTTTCTCTTAGACTCTTAGGTCCACATTGAGTGTCATCAACTCTATTCTCTAGTTCCTGTAGTCACGAAAAACAAAACAACTATTTCCATATTGTTTTGCATATGCAGAACTGCAGATTGTAAGATGGAAGCACCGTGTGTTGAAAAACAGGTCTGTTTTTTTTTTTTTTTTTTTTTTTTTTTTTTTTTTTTTTAATTCAGGAACTTAAGGCGTCTAAGAGGATCTGGTCCAAGGTGGTCAGCATGGAATATGTTTAAGCAAGTGTATGTAAGAAAACAAGTAATACATCGTGGTGGATGTATAGGATGAAGAAGCCTGATTTTGCCTAAATATGACACTTGCCAATAAAAAAGTTTTTCAATTTTGGGAAAATATTGCTTCAATTGGACTAGGGATGATTTATTGATTGGTTATATATATAAAATGTAAAGTTATTAGGCGTAGTAAGACATATAGGCCAAGCCTCAAAAACTTAAAGCTTAGACGAGAATGTCAAGTTTAGTTGGGAAAAGATGTTTGTGATTTTTATTAATACATACTATATTATTTTATAATGGTATATAAGGAAAAGAAATCAATACCCAACAAATAGAATATAATTACTTTTTACTTCGTACCGAGTGTTAGATTACATAATTGATATATTTACAAACTGAGATTTCCAATAATTTAACCCCATTTTTCTTTCTAATAATCGACCCTTCTATAAGGGGGTGTCCCCAACATGTATTCTGATGGATTTTAATGGAGTTTAGAATTCCATTATTAAAATCTGGGTATCCTCAATTTGGATTTCCATGGAGTCTTTAAAATTCCAGTATCCTCAAACATTCTATGGATTTCACTAACTATCTACTTTTATGGATTTTAAAAGATTTTGATGGATTTCTATGCCAAATAATAGAACAACTCAATCCAACACAATCTCACCCCCAACCCTCAGATTTCCAAATCCATCATTCAAATCTTCCGTATGCAACTCCACCTTTCATCGTTTACATTCCACCTACCGTCATAGCACCTGGTGTTCAAAAATTCATCGTGAGTGAGAACCGGTCTACACCCCACTCAATTTACCCCAAAATGTAACTCAAATAATCTCTATACCACACCCAAGAAGCTCCACCTTTCATACGTGCTCTCTCTTTTCACTGTCTCAATCTCACGGTTGCTCCTAAATGGATTGGCATACTGAGGGTGTGTGTAGGGATTGTGTAGGGGAATACTGCGAATTGAAACCCCTAGCATCGCCAAAGGGATTGTGTACGCTGCATAGCCTGCGTTAGAACGTGGCTGCTCTTTGGAAAGGATATAGCTAATTTGTTAAAAATCCATTGAAATCTATACAATTCTACGATATAGAATTCCATAAGATTCTATTAAAATCAATGGAATATCTAGAATTCTTTTAAACTCCATAAGATTTACAATCTTAAGAAATCCTTTAAAATATATGTTGAGGACACCCCCTTAAAATTCACGCCTTTTAGGCTTAGTTACAAACTTGTACTGCATCTCCCTTTTACTTCACATCTAGACGCCTTCTTTTAGAACATTGGTTAAATATATAGTCTCACTTGTGTGGTACACAGAAAATGCTTTGATAGTTTGATTGAAATTAGATCCTCATAGTAATAGCTGAAGGTCTTACATGCAGGAACAAGATGATGGTTAGTTAGAGATAAGATGTATTTCGTATATAGAATATTTGTATCTGCACTTACACACTCACTCACACACACACACACATATAACCATACATATAGGGGAATGCTAAAGTTTGCACCAGTTCTTAAATGTACATTTCAAATCCGAACCTTTTATGATATCAATCTTAGTATTTAGTTCCCTCAAATCTGAGCCTTCTATGATATAATTGGTTACTCTAGTTTCTCCAAGGAGTTCCAAACAAGTTAAATATAATAAGTTTAGTCAAACAAACTAGTAAGATGAAGATAAAAGTAGAATACATACATTATAAGAGTTGTACCTTGGAAGTTAGAAAGGTTTTTAAACTTTGATCACCATATATTTCTTGTAAAAAGAAGTGATTTTTAAATGCAACTTCAATTTCCTTTTCCTTTTCCATCATTTGCAAAATTGCAATGGAGCCAAAGACTCACTATTTCTTGGCTTGGGAATATGATGAAATAAAGCAAAATGACTCACTTAACTGTTTGTTATGAAACGACAACCAGTCCATCCAATTTGACGGGATTTTCACTATGGGTCATCCGGAAACAGTCTCTCTGTGCTTTAGTACAAGGGTAAGACTGCGTACATCCGACCCCCCTTACCACACCGTAGGTGGGGAGCCTTTGCGGCACTGGGGTAATGATGATGATGAATTTCCTTTTCCTAAACTCTGTTCTCTGCATACTTTTACAAAGACTAGCTGTAACTCTTGTGGAATGAGTGACACAAAGTAGAAACCTTTCATTTTATTACTTCAGTGTAATAGTATCATTATGCAGGGGTCTACAAATACATTGAGTAATTGATTGGTATAAATCTAGTTGCCAAGCATATATAACAATGATGCTTGCTACCAATATTCAATAGATATACAAACAAATATTGAGATAATTCGTTAGGGTGGTTTGAATGACATGCTTCTAGCATAACTGTACATTCACAGCTCATCCTTAGGAATAGAAGATGAGTGTTTGGGGTTGGCGGAAGAGGTCTTGACAGGGTAAGATGCTTGCATTGCTATGCCACACAGTCCCCCGTCCTCGACTCCACGTTGCATCCTTATGTATCCCTTCTCTCCCCATTCAGCTCCCCACGAGTTTCTAACGATCCAGTATTTGGTTCCGTCCTGTGTTGTCCCATACCCAACGATTGCGACCCCGTGATCAAGCTCTTTTCCACATTCCCCACTGAAAACACCCTGTAATAATGTACTTGTCGTGAGGTAGAACATAACCATCATATAAAGTCTTGATATACTTCTATTAGTAAATTTTATTACTCACCTCAGAATAGAACTGGAAGTCAGAACCTGAGGCTTCTATGGCTACAGAAACAGGTTGGTTGGCTACTGCTTTAAGCAGTGAGTCCTCATCACCTGCAGGCACGTCCTCGTGCCCATCGATCGATACAGCTTGCAAGTGCAACTGCCATCATACACATCCCAAATGTTGATTAATTACATTGTTCAAATATGCCTATTTGCTACATTTATCTATTTCAAAACCATTTTTTTCCCTCCAAAAGGGTCACATTTGTACAAAAGAAACCACTTTTACTGAACTTAATTATTCTCTCAGAAACAAAAAGCTGGGAACAAGTATGCTAAGTTTAGTTTATCATACAAAAGGAAATATTGATAAAATATAAGTAGAATGAATGATTTATAAGAGATGTACTCTTAACTATTAGTATATATAGACATAAGCCGGTGTATTGTATTCATATATTTTAGGGAAATATGATCATTTGAGAACTCCCAAATGATCATGCATGATTGTTTCCAATATATGAATTGAACTGGCACGTATGGAACGAAATAAGAAAAAGAAAACTCGGGATGGTATGCATACATGCCATATGCTATCACATTACGAAATAAAGATTCGAGTCATATCTTGGGAAACACATAAGGATTTAGTCATAATGGGTAATTTTCTTTGTATCTTTCTTGTACGGTATCAAGATGCCAAAAATTAGTCCTGTTTTTCTAAGATTATTATCTTCATGAGGCATGCAACATGACATTTTTTTTGGGACGAAGGGAGTACATACAAATAACAAATGGATGCTTGTAAACATTGCAGTGTATTATTACTCACCTTCCTTGAATCACATCTGCCTTGTGCAGCCTTGTAAGGGTAGACTTTTTCGGTGGAGAGGCCGCCTTGCTTGTTGATGAAGTCAAATGCTGAATCCATGAGGCCTCCATTGCAGCCTTGGTTTTCCTGTGTGTCACAGTCAATGAGCTCTTGCTCTGACAAAGAGACTAATTTGTTTGTTTTGATTTGGTTTATGCCTTCAACTGCTACAACCGTTGAGAATGCCCAACAACTACCTGCATAATATCGTATGCATATATTAAGGGTACGTCTGGTAAGATTCATTTGATTGAATTGGTTAAACAAAGGCAGATTTTTTAAAAGCCAAAGCATTTGGTAGCATCCATTTACCTAAATAAGTAAAAAAGTAACCTACTTCATTGTTCTACCAATAAGCAAAATAGCAAGCCCAATATGACTAGGAGAGCCTAAACTGTCTTCATTTAATTTATTATTACTTCGTACTCCGTATATTTTAGAATCGACCCGGTGCTGTGTCTATTATTATTCATTCTACCCATAATCGGCACTCGAAAATGGGGTCCGGTCCAGTTCCAAAATGTTCTTTTTTGCCTCTTTTTTGAAAATAAATTAAAAACTGGAACTGTTCTGAGCCTATTTTGGAGGAAGGGGAACTCAAACCGGTTTGGACCGGTTTTAGATACCGGTCCCGGCCTAAAATCATAATAAAAGGCCACTGGTCCGGTTCTTTACCCACTCGGTCCCGATCCAATTCGAGAACTGGGATCGGGTCCACTCCTACGTGGAGGCTTACCACATTGGCCTTGGTCCTTGACATTGGTGACTGCTCCTTTGGCGCGCCAATCGACGGAGGCCGGGACATCAGTCACGTTGGCGTATTGGAACGACGGTCTTGCACGTGAGGCGCCTTGTAGCAACCGGTGGTGCTTGATCTTAGCATCGGCGTACGTCCTTCGGAACTCGTGGTTCGTCATGTCCGCAAACTTGTTGAGCTTGAGCTTGTAAGGTTTGTCCTTCTTATTGAAGTTGTGGACATAGTCAACGTTAGACTTGAAGACATTGAACCTCTTGTGCTTCTCATCTAGGCTGGTGGAAACAGTGTGGTGGCTCCTCCACCTCTCGTACATCCCCCACAAGCTTTCCTCGCTCTCCAACTCCTCCTCTTGGTATTCAAATCCTTCTCCAATGCTAAGTACCAAAGCTAAGCTTAACACACCTAAGAAGAAGAGGAAGTAGGACTTGTTCATCTTCATTATATGGTGTATAGGATAGATGATGCAATGAGATAGCTAGGTATATGGAACTATGGGACTGTTTTATTGCCTTTTTATAGATAAATAGTTACCTAAGGATATAACATAAAAATATTATATAATGGGTTATCCAAGATGTTGCTTGCTAAGCTCGGAAATGGTGTGCTTCCAATGAATTATTGGTGCAGAGATTGGGTTTGCTTAAGGGCAACAACAATGTATTAAAAAGTGTTAGATACGGCCGGCCAATTATGCAAGGAATGGGGCATAGCTTCTAGCTTGGTAGAGATTAGAAAAAAGTTTAGGTAAAGTCTAAATTAGTGGAGGAAGCCCAGTATGGCTTGGGGGAGTTGGGGTATGAACTGCACCCTTTTCTAAAAGTGTTTCATACCAAAATGTATAAGTCTCGAATTCGAATCCTGATATTTACGATGAGAGATTACTATGTAAAAATGCATATGGGCTTTGCAACTAGTTGAGCCAAAATCTCACTCACTATCTGTCAGTTTGTGATTAAAGTCTAATTTAAATCCTTCAGTTATCCATTATATTCGGTCAGTGCTAGGGGCATTTGAAGATGGAGTGCCATCCTTTTCCCCAAAATTATATGATTTTTGTGCTTTTCAATCCGAGAGATGTATTTTAGGTAAAATATTGAAGTGTATTTTAGATTTTTAGGCAAAATATTGAAGTGTACTTGCCAATCGGGCTTGACTAGTACAAAGATCTTTTTACATAATTTTTAAATAACTTTTTTAAACTAATGGTGGTTTCATGAAAAATATAAAATTTAAACTTTTCTTCATTTGGCACAACTCCCTTGATCGAATACAAAGACTCTTTATTGTCTATTATATTAAAAACGACCATTATGTATCAGACAGATGTCCATTCATAATTTGGTAGTTGTCTAGGACATGGTCATAGTTGCGTAGAGAGGGGGCAATTACCAATCTATTCCAAGTTCAGTAAAGTTTTATTTTTTAGAATCAAAGTTTATCCGAGTAAACCATTTTGTTTTATCATCACAAGTTCAAAACTTTGGATTAATCTAATAATACAGGAAAGTTGCTTGTGGACTACTACAAAGCTGCATGTGAGTAGCTTGAGCCGGCCAGAATAACAGGATCGGAATCTTTGACAATCAACTTTTTTGAGGTGAAAAGCATATATGGGCGAAAGGCACATATGGAAATTCGCAATTTTTGCGGGTACAAACGTCTATTAGGCATGAGTGGATGACTCATTTTGTTATATGAGATCTGATCTAGTGTGATCTAGTGGTTTGATTACTTTGATCTATTTAATTCTGACCTGATCTAGTTAATGTTTTGTCAATGTGTATTTTATAACCGTCAAAATCAGATCTAGTCTGGGTTGAGCTGGTCTAACATTGCATACGATTCAAGTAAAAACATCATCATCAATTCCATATTACTAGATTAAGCATAAATTAAAGTTAATACTTCATTTTAGATTGTTAACACACAAAAAAATATTATTTGTAAATTAAAATTAAAATATTAGAAAATAACACTAAAAGTTTTACTAAATCACAAAATTAAAGCTGATTTTAATTTGAAAAAACATTTGGCACATAAAATTATTTGGCGTAACTTAAAATTACAGAGAATTGGATCTACTTGATCAATTCAGATCGAATATAGTAAATTAGTATTCAGGACGACTAAATAAGCAGTAGATAAAAAAAGATCAGAAAATGATCGTTTTATTATAATGGATATTAATTTGAATTCAATCTAATTTATTCATGTTTAAGTGTTAATGTTTATTCATGGAAAGGTGAATGTATGAGTTGAGAGTATTAAAGAAATTTGAATTCACTCTAATTTATTCATGTGAATATCATTGCTAGTTCAAATTATTGATATGATTTTTGTGGAAAATAAATTACATATGTTTCAATGATATAAAAATGCTTTGGGGGTCCTGAGGGTGTAAGAGGGGTAGAGTTTCTAGGCCCTCAATTTTTTAGACTCATAATTTATATATCTGTTGAGTAGGGAAGTTATCTTAAATAGAAGTAAAAGCGTTTTGGAATTTCAAAATATAATCACTATATTTTTCTTCTCGAAATAGAAGTTATTACTGTCATGATTGAAAAATACTGTCATGTTAATGTTAGTATTGCAACTATTTTGGCACTAATGATTCTAAGACTGATCTGACATCAAATATTACTATGTTGCTCTTATTTTAGAAAAAAACATAACAATTCTACTCTCGAACTCTCATACACTTTTATTCCCATTTGGGGAATTTTCCTTATGGAGTATTACTACATTAGTAAGTTCACACTTTTATGATTAAAAGTAAACTATTTTGGGATTGGAGAAAACACATGCGAAGAGGCCTGTGCGTAGACATGTGAAGAGTGTTAAATTAAATATAATGCGTTTTAATAATACACTATAAGGCCGTTTGGCAGCACTGGTTTTCGGCTTATCCGGCTTATCAGCCAACTTTTTCACCAAACACACAACTTTTGCTTTGGCGCGCTGAATTGTGTAATGAGAAAAAAAGTAAGGTTGAAGTTACTTTTCTGGCTATATTGGCTGAAGTTACCGTAGATGACCATTTTAGCTAATAGCTATTTTTGCATATAATTTTTTCTTTATTTTATTATTAAAATATATTGAGTTAATTATCAAAATAGGACTAAAAGTCATTCACTTTGCACAAATAGGACCAAAAAATAAACTATGTTTCCATAGGACTAATTATGTTTGTCTTGGACAAATATACCCTTATACCTATTGGAATGTTTTAATTCATAATAAAATAATAAAAAATAATAAAAATTCGTAAAATATACCAAAAAATTAATAAAAATATTTTGAATAATAATAAATTTTAAAAAAAAAATTCAAAAAAAATAAAAAATAAAAAAAATTAAAAAAAATTAAAAAAAAAATCAAAAAAATATTTTTTTTGTCACCGCCGCCTATACCGCCCCAGCACCACCACCTCTAGTCATTTGGGGAAAAAATGCCAAATTTATTATGAATTCCATATTTTTGGCATAATTCAGAATGATTTAAGATGGAAGAAAAAAAATGTTGGCATTCTCAAAGAGAAATATGCCATATTTTTGGCATTTTCCAAAAAAAATGGAAGTTTGTAGGAAATATGACATTTTTTTTTAACGGTCGGAGGTGGTGGTGCAGGGAGGCGGTACCACCACCTCCTGTCACCGGGGTAAAAAAATGCCAAAAAAATTATGAATGCCATATTTTTGGCAAAAGTCAAAAGGATTCAAGTTGGCAGAATGAAAATGTTGGCATTCTCATAGAGAAATATGCCATTTTTGTGGAATTTAAAAAAAAAAGTGGCATTTTTTACACCGATCGGAGGTGGTGGTTCAGGGAGGTAGTACAGGCGGTGGGAAACATATCCATATTTTTTTTAATTTTTTTTATGGAGTTTTACTATTTTTTTATTAATTTTTAAAATAAAAAAAAAAATTAAAAAAAAAATTTTCTTATTTTTTATTTTATAAAAATTTTATTAATTTTTTTATTATTTTTCTACGAATTATTGAAATTTTTTCGAATTTATTATGAATTAAACATTTAATTATGACTTTTAGCTATCTTTTACTAATATTTAAAGGAGGGGTAAGAATGGAAGGAAGAAATGAGTATGTTTCCAATAGGACCACTATGGTCCTATTTTGGAAAAAAAACATAACAAGTCCTATTTTGAGTTTTTGCCATAGTTTTAGTCCTATTTGAAGTAATTTTTTCTTAAATCAGTAGAATTAGCCATTGCAGCCACTTCATTCAGAACTTCATAAATTTTAGCAGAATCAATCAAATAAGCCGATTTTGGTGCTACCAGAAGAGACTCTATATTTATTATTTAAATAAACTCTACAAGATTCCGTCCACAGGTGACAGGCCGCGACGAATACATGATTGGTTTTGAGTTTATAAGATTCCGCCCATAGGCCCCGAACAATACATGATTGGCCTTCACAAAAATACAAAATGGTGTAGCATAAAGTATAAATCATGAGCCAATAATCCACGTGTATAAGAAAATTTAAAGAAATTATTACAAATAAGAATAAAAGATAACAAAAAAATTATTTGTACCCACTATTGTACCCACTTCTGTACACACAATGTCTGTGAGAGTTTTTTTTTGTCTGTGAATCTCAGTCATAAACAAAAATATGTCTATGAAGACATGGTGGGTACAATAGTGGGTACAATAGTGAGTACAAGAAGAAGCTCCCAAAAGATAAACATATATTACGGAATACGGAGTACATAATTAGAGTAGATATGTTTTAAAAAGGAAAAAATGATGATGTGCACGGTGCACACGTCACGTGGCATGAGTGATAGCCACATAAATATTAGCAAATAAATTATCTCTCTCCTTATTTGAATGATTTTATACAATTTAGGTAAGTTTTTCCCTGCAATGTTAACATCTAGATGGTCTCCTTGACAATTGACATTATGGAGGAAAGCTTACCAAAACTGTATAAAACCATTCAAATGAGGAGAGAAAGAAATTATTTACTAGTATTTATGTGATTATCTCTCATGTCACGTGTGCACCGTCCACATTGTACCATTGGAGTTGCTCTTAGCACTCCCTCAGTCCCATTTTGTAGGATATCTTTCCTATTCACTTAGTCAACACAAATCACTCTTAATCTCTTACTTTATATATCAATTTTTTTTTCAAATTTGATTCTGGTTTTTAAAACTTTGTAAATATTTTAATGTAGTTTCTGAATTTGTAGTTCTTTTTTTCTAAAAATAATTTGAGTTCTGACAGGAATTCATTTGCTTTATTGTCGGTCAAATATTGTAAAGACGTAAACCGTAAAATGTCCTACAATTCGGGAGAGAGGGATGAAGTACTACGTATAACGGTACGTAAGGAGGAGTATTATCTTTTAGTTGGATCCGTATTAATTAGGCGTAGGCGTGCATGGCATTCATGACGTTCAAGACACGGGATTGGGAAGACGACGAGTAGTCAGTTTTTATCGTTGTGATGAGGCCGGCCTGGCCTTCGGCTTTAAGCCAAGATCACAAACAAGTGGTCGGATCGAGAATAAAGTTGGTGTGCGTGGCCGTATATATTCATCATTTATATTGACTTCACTTATTTAATTAATTAATTATGGAATAAGCTAAGCCCCAAAGAATAGTAGTAGGTCATGATTTATTCAGTTTATCTAACCTACGTGGTACGGATAACGAGAATATGAACTTAATTATGAAGCTAGGCATGCGCAACCGCACAACTCCAAATGACATGCTCTAAATTTTTAGGCCGAAGTGGTGTATTTATAAAAATATAGACTTGGATATAGAGAGAGAGAGCAATTTTGGATTAGAATAAGAAGAGTCATCATTCTCATTAAAATTGAGTAAGAATAAACATGAGGCATCAAATGTACTATATATGCTCTAATAAGATGGCTCTAATTAAGTATGTGTAAAATGCATTACAAATTTACAATGGATGAAAAATGCGGTAACGTTTCAGTAAATAAATCAAAGTTTATCCTCATTGCAAAAAGTACATTTCCGGTATGTAAATAGTGTACCATATACAATCAAAGGTGGATAGAAAAAATCATTTGAATACAATAGTGCAACGCATTGCAAAAAGTACATTTCCTGTAACACCCACTACCCGGCCCGGAAGGCTCGGGCAGGGAGTGCTACCCGCAGTGCCGAAGCACCAAAGCGTTAACAGATTAACTATTTTCTTAAAATATTTTTGGCCGAATTTAAATGAGATTAATAATAGAGTTTATCAAAGTCCATAAATAGCGAAAGCATAAATATATTACACAAGTAGTTCTAGATTTTGGAGTAGCCAAATACATCCATGAAAATTGAACATTCTCATGCTTATTTATTGCACAACTAATATGCTAGATGAGTACTTATTATGCAACTAGAGATGGATTATTACTAATATGTGGATGTGACTCTTTGATGATTGGCTGCTGCTCCCAAATGCATCCTGGATCCGCCTTGTAACGCTTACTGACCTACGCGAAGGACAAAAATCCAACGCGCTAAGCAAATCTTGCTTAGTGGTGTTCATTCTTTCTCAATATAAAATTATCACAAATAATAATCAACACGAATTGTAATAATACCAACATAGCTCATAAAAACCGTGCTTTAAAAATATCACTCTTCATAGCTATTGTAGCTTGTAGATATGTCATATACGTAGTAATTAATATCACCATTTTGTTCAAAGTCACCATTTCCAAATATTTCTAATATTGTATCACAAATTAAATTACTCTACGCTTTTAACGTTTTCCATTCACTTTCAATGCATCCTTCCATTTTTCTAAGTTTGTATTTCCAAATCGAATTTCTATACATTTCTTATTTTGGAATTTTACTCCTTACTTTTATGGACTGGATAAACGGGACGTTCTCATCTTTGGTACTGTCCACTCGGTGGCTACGGACCATCAGAGAACTATTTTGGCACTGGCCACTCGGTGGCTCTGGCCGGAGTTCGTTTGGGTACTGTCCACTCGGTGGCTACGGACCCGTAAACGAACATATTTGGGTACTGTCCACTCGGTGGCTACGGACCCGTATAGAAGCGCGCGTGTGTCAAATATCAAGATTTGGGTGCTGTCCACTCGGTGGCTACGGACTCGAAATCATTGATCAAATTCTACGGCCGTGTTAATTATCCCTATTGGCATGCCAATCTATCCAATCCAAAAACAAGGTTTCAAGTTCTGTATTTATTTATTAACCATTGTTTAATTCAGTACTTTAACTTCTACGGATATGATAATTACTATTTTAACACATCTTAAATAACTTTATACATAAAATATTCTGGAAATGAGTATTGTCAATACACATTCGAATTGCGGTAGCTGTCTTTAAAACTTGAACTTTTACATACTCCACATTTTGAATTATAGCTTAATTATTCTAAACAATTAGCTAATTAACGACCCAGATTTAGTAATTTATAATCTCACAATCATACAACTTAAAAATTTAACATACGTAGTACTAAATACTACTATACTATACTTTTTAAACTTTTGAATTTTATTATAAAATTACGTTATCTCTAAATAATTATAATTTAACTCCTTTAAAATATATTGGTAGATGTGGATTCAACTATAAAGTGTAAACACTCTCAGAAATCAGTAATTAGAAATCAGTAAGTTTGAAATTCTTTATTGACTTTAATTAATAGTATAGATATGTGTATACAAATATATACCTTGCAAATCAATATGTAATAATTTCCGAAAATGTCATTTCAAAATAGTTGGTGTTAAAACATACGAAGTATAAATAACTAGTCGCATAATAATCAATATATATATATAAAAGAGGAACTTTTTAAGAGCATACGGTGTGCCACATAATCCTGCCATGTCATCATATATAATAATTATTCAATTACTTTTTATTTTTTATTACATTCTATTTTTTATTGCATATTGATATGGAAACAAAATACTGTACAATCTTTTATAATCCACCTTTTTATAGAATCTTACTTACTCCATATTATTTGCAATATTTTGATACTACGTAACTTTTATAGACAAATAATTATATAAATTATTTAATTTTTTTGTAGTATCAAAATATATATAAAAGGTTATGTATTATTTTGCAGTAAGTATCAAAATCAATATATATATATAAAAGAGGAACTTTTTAAGAGCATACGGTGTGCCACATAATCCTGCCATGTCATCATATATAATAATTATTCAATTACTTTTTATTTTTTATTACATTCTATTTTTTATTGCATATTGATATGGAAACAAAATACTGTACAATCTTTTATAATCCACCTTTTTATAGAATCTTACTTACTCCATATTATTTGCAATATTTTGATACTACGTAACTTTTATAGACAAATAATTATATAAATTATTTAATTTTTTTGTAGTATCAAAATATATATAAAAGGTTATGTATTATTTTGCAGTAAGTATCAAAATATTGCAAATAATACATAACCTATTAGTAAGTATCAAAATATATTTTGCAGTAAGTATCAAAATATTTATCAAATACATTATATTTGGACAAAATATTATGTATCAAATTATATAATAAAAGTTACGTACTAATTATTGTAAAAAACTACGTAATAGTTTTGTAACAATTATTTGATACTACGTAACTTTTGTAGTCATCCCAACACATAAACTATATTTTAAATAAATTGTTTGATTATTTTTTATACCTTTTATTTTTTATTACATTCTATTGAGAAATGAATTATCCGTGTTTTCCCCACCTAATAGATAAATAATCCAAATTCCTATTAATTTTGTTCTTCAAAGTTATTTTATAAAAATAAAAAGGTAAAAATAGTGTTCCGTGACTAAATCCGTGACTAAGTCCGTGTTTTTTTGTAGTGTCCATTT